CTTGCATCTTGCATTAAGCAGAGAAACGACTTTTGATCCACTTCGAAATTTGGCTTTAGTCCCGGTATTTTTTACGTTCGGGACTAGAGAGACCTTTAGTCCCGGTTTATAGCTCCAACCGGGACTAAAGGTCCCTGTCCAACGGCTACTACGGCAGGTTTTTGCTGCAGAGGACTTTTAGTCCATGTTGGAGCTACCAACCGGGACTAAAAGTTAACTTTTACTCCTGGTTGATCCCTCCAACCGGGAGTAAAAGTCTACTTCCGGCTGGAGGCTCCGTCCGGGACTAGAAAGGGATCTTTAGTCCTAGTTGGTGTCTCCAACCGGGACTAAAGGTCCCCTCCTATATACTCCTTTCTCCCCAAGCCCGAGCCACTTCGACCTCAGTGTTCTTGCTTCATCATCGGCCTCTCTTCTTCCTCATCGCCGGTAATCACAAGATTTCTTCGATTCCTCCATCGATTCTTCGGTTCTAAAGGTTACCAACTTTATATTCTCATGTTTCATGAGTAGCATATCTCATTTTATGGACTAGATATATGTGGTTTTTTATGGTGGATTTTTTTTTATTTGTAAGCCATTTAAGCTCAAAATCACTTTAAAGTTTGCATATTTGGATGAAGGAAGGTTAAAGTAGTTATTCAAAACTAGTATTCAGCTTTTATTTCTAGCATGCATAGCACACTTCATGGTTTAGAGATATAGAGAATTTTAAAGTTTTTTTAATTTTATTTGTTTATAAAATGAGAAATTTATATTATATTAAAAATGAGTATAGAGAGTAGATGGCAACTGCTTCCGGGTCCTCGGCCTCTCATCGGGTTCCAAAGCGACTGAGGCCGGACCTCCCTCTCATTGCATGCGGCAAGTGTGAGGAGAAGATTGTGATGGAGTACCGGGTGAGGAAAGAGTGTCCCAACAAGGACCGTATCTTCTACAAGTGTCTGGATCACAATGTGAGCTATTTTATCGCATTTGATGATTTATGGTTAATTTATACTTATTTTCATGATGATTGTGATTAAAGTTCTAATTTTTTGTTTTAATTTCAGTGGGATGGCACTGAATGTTCAGGCTGGTACTGGAAGGAAGAGTATGTTGAACACATGCAAAACTCTCTTGTACAGGCGGCTACGGCGGCTGATGAGGCAGTGATCCCGCGGAAGAAGCCCATAGATGTTGAACAAACGCATGATCTGTCTGTTTTAGTTGGGATTGGTCGCGAAATCCCTATGTTGCTGAAGTGCATTTTAGCTTTAGTTTTTTAGTGGTAGTTCAGATTGTCTACATTATAGCGAGACTTTCATAAATTAATACCTTGTGTGGTGGCATGCATGTCGTATAATTAACTAATTATGTTCTAGATTTTAATATGGTATGTATATCATGTAATGCAGATGAGCCGGCATTGGATGTACAATGTTGATCGCCGCTCCCAAGAGTTCATTGAGGGCGTGCATTCTTTCTTACGTGTGTCCGAGGCAAACAAACACGATGGTTTCATGTGTTGCCCATGTGCCATATGTAAGAATTTGAAGGAATATGTTAGCTCAAGGAGTCTTCATTCACACTTGTTGAAGTCGGGTTTCATGCCAAACTATATTTGTTGGACGAAGCACGGAGAAACCGGGGTTGTAATGGAAGAAGGTGAAGAAGAACAATGGGACGATGATGACATAATTGTTGAATATGGTGCCTTCAATGATATTGCAATGGGGGAAGCTGAAGAAGAGGTAGGGGCAGAAGATGAGCCCGCTGATGATCTTGGTCAGGCCATTCGTGACGCACAAAGAGAATGCGAAAGTGAAAATGAGAAGATCAAGTTTGAGCGCATGCTAGAGGATCACAAGATATTATTATACCCAACTTGTGATGCGGGGCAGAAAAAGTTGAGTACCACACTGGAATTGCTGCAATGGAGGGCAAAGAATGGTGTATCTGACAAGGGATTTGGGGAGTTACTGAAAATCCAAAAGAAGATGCTTCCAAAGGATAACGAATTGCCTGCCACTACGTACGAAGCAAAACAGGTAGTCTGCCCTTTGGGATTAGAAATCTAGAAGATACATGCATGTCCTAATGACTGCATCCTCTACCGTGGCGAGGAGTACGAGACAAATTTTTCACTAATTTTCTATTGACATGCATGATTAATAATAACAATTTCTTATACCTAATTATTCTTTTTTGTACTCACACAGCAGGGCCTCCACCAACCAAAGTCCAATTATTCAATCTCCAGATCATCACAGTGCTCCGGGCAATGATTATGCAACGCCGCCACCGTCGCCACCTCCAAGGAGGTCTCCAACGGCTGCTCGCCTCCCTTGATGACCAAGAAGTAGCCAGCTCCAAAGAGGTCCACCCCGCAAACAAAGCCGTTGGCCCACCAACCGGCAAAGAAGAAAGCCTCCTCTAATCCAGTTATTCCCCAAAAACCGTCTTACGAGAAAAGTGAAAATAAATTAAATGATGCAGTACAAAAAGATGTGAATAGTTTTTTTGAAAAAGTAAGAAAGCAACGAGAAGCGAGGGAGAACCCGGAGAAACCGTACTTCTACCTACCTCCAGATCTTCTAAGAAAGAAGGTGGACCAGAAAAAGCGGGAATCTCAAAAGACCCTGCCAAAATCAAACTACGACCGCTCTCTCACCAAGTCATTTGAGGCGGCGCAGAAAAAGACTAGAGCAAGGAAAGGTGTTGCACAACTCGGACAACAATCGCAACAATCAGTCCCCCCTCTTGTCATTCGTAATGAATATGGTTCAAACTTATACTTACTGGACGTCGATTTTGAGGACCTGGTTCGGTTTTACGAGGATACTGGTTTGGACCTTCCCCAAGTGCTCGTTGAAGGACCATCTGCTCTGAAAGTAGATCCTGAGAAGAAATTTGAACATGGAAAGAGTCTATACAACCCTGAGGCCTTAGGTGAACTGGGTACGCAAATCTATCTGCTAAACAAGTGGTACATGATAGCGTGTGAACGGGAAGAGACCTTTGTTTCTGTCAAAGTTAGAAACCAACATTACTTCCATGGCGATGACGTTATATATGTCGAGTTTTTAGAATTACACCAACTATGCCACCTGGACTCTCTCGATAAAAGTCTCATTAGCTGCTATTGTCTGTAAGTGTGATTATTTTCTACTATTAAAGTGTATATATATAAAACTATATGTATATATATAAATTATATATCCTCACACTATATTTTTATATATGCAGATATGAGATGACAGAACTTAGAAAGAGAAAGGATAATGATGTTGGTTTCGTTGATCCAAATGTCGTATTCAAACACCCTAATCCTCCGCCTCAATGGAAAGCTGAACTCGAGAAAAATCTCATGAGGTTCTTAGTGAACCAACAAAACAAGGACATACTCTTCCCCTACAACTTCAAGTGAGTGTTAAATAATTAATGTCGATTATATGGACATTTGTTCAATTATTTGCTTACTAGATAAGCTATCTCCCATATATATATATATATATATATATATATATATATATATATATATATATATATATATATATATATATATGTTGACTCTAGTTAATGTCGATCATATTTGTGTATAAAAATATATGCAGCAATCACTGGATATTGATGGTCATCGATATGGTCAATAGTCAGTTGAGCATCTTAGACTCGTTAAGAAAAGAGAAAACAGAGTACCAAGACATGATAGATATTATCTAAGGGTAATTTGATCTATCTAACAACTATATATATCCCGATCTCTTAACTGCAACAATTATTAAAGGCCAAATTAATTTTTTATTTTATTGGGCGCATAGTTTGGAAAAGTTTTATTGAGGAACACCACATGAAACATTGCAAAGCGACACTGAATGTAATCGCACACAAAGTAAGTACTAGCTACATTTATATATATATAATTCAATTAATACTATGCATGCTTTCAATTCACCGGATCTTTTTTCTCGTAAAAGTGGGTTCTGAGGCAAAAACAGGGGAACAACTACTGCGGATACTATGTTTGCGAGTTCATCATGGCGTACTTAAAAAGAACTCCTGAAGAGATCCTCAAAGTACGTTATATAAATATATTCATATATTTACAATTTCTTTTATTGCTCATATATATAAGTAATCACGTGACCAACACACATATATATATATTAATATTTTTCCTTTAACTTTTATTAAAGACTCTATGGTTGAAGGAAAAAGTCAAACGACGTGACCAACTGAAAGCAATTCAAGAGACCATAGCAGAATTTCTTAATGACCAGGTCCTAAACCCTGCCGGCGAGTTCTACAATGACATGAATGAAACATGGAAGCCAAACCAGATGGATTGAATTTGTTATTCAAGGATATGATAGAATATACAATGCAAGCTTTATTTGTAATATATATATATATATATATATGTACATAAAATAACGTACAATATATGTATATGCATGTAATATATATGTTAGTTTCGTACTTTAGTTTGTACAAAATGTTCGAACATTATAAACGTGTAGAATACGTATATTATTAGCAGCGTAGAATGCGTATTCAAAAACCTATTCAAAATCAAAACGAATCATCAATTGAAAATAGAAAAAAAAAACCTTTAGTCCCGGTTGGTAATAGGGCCGGCCCACGTGGTCAGGCCAGGAGGTCTCTTTAGCCCCGGTTGGTATTATCGATCTTTAGTCCCAGATGAGAAACTAGAACTAAAGGAGAGACCTTTAGTCTTGGATTCGTGCTCCCGATTAAAAACCGAGATAAAAGGGTTTGCTAACCGGAGCTACAGCTCGTTTCTGTATCAGTGTTGGGCACTGCTTCCGCCGCCGCTCCTCGACGAGCTTCTGCAGAAGCGCGGCATTCGGGCCTTCATTGCAGTCGTGCTGGCTGCTGCCATCAGCATCGTCATGGCTCCAGCCGAAGCCGCACGTGGCACACATTGGGTGGCTGCACACCGGGCAAAATGCCGTGGCCGGCGTCTTGCCGCCTGTAGCCTCGAGCAGCACCCCGCACTAGCGGTTGGGGCAGTAGGCGCGCAGGTTGGGCGGGATGGCGCGCTCCGTGTGGCCGTCGCCCCAGCTGCTGAACGCGGCGAAGTCAATGGACTTCTTGCACACCTCGGGGTGCAGGACGGCGATGTCCTCCCCATATGCCTCCGGGCAGGCCGGGTCCGGGCACGGGATGGGCACCTCGCCGGCGTTGGTCCTCCCCTCGATGTACGTGGCCATGCACTCCACGCAGAACCTGTGCTGGCACTGCATGCCATGGAAGAGGTCCAGGATGGGATGGGTCTCCATGCAGATGCCGCAGTCGAACTTGGGCAGTTCGTCGTTGGCGAGAGGGAGCACCCTCAGCCGCGTCGTCGTCGACGGGCCTGCCTCGTCGAGGTCGAGATCAGAAGGGTGGACGACGCGCTATCTCTTGGGGGGGACTGTAGCCGGGTTCCTCCCTGGGCTCCTCGTCGAATCTTGGAAATTGTTGCTGGAAGAAAGGTACTTCATCATGAAGTCCCGGCTCATCCATCGCCTGAGCTTCGCGGAGGAGGGAGTCGTACCAGCTGTTGCCATGCTCTTCTTCCTCTACGCTAGCGAGGATGACCGGGGAGTGATGAGCGGCGTCGGCAAGCATGGTCTGTCTTGCTAAGATGATATCTTCTTTGCCGGGAAAGGTCCGCGACGTCGCCTGTGCGCCGGCCCGTGTTTCCAAACGGAGGGTTATCGCTTCACCGCCACCAACGGGCTGCGGCCTACGGCGTCTTAAACCCTGGGCGGATGCTCCTCTTGAGGTGTATGTAAAGGACACTACGTGACCTGTACCTCTTTCTTGCGGCTGCGGGACCGAGGGTCGGTCGGCGCCTCCTGCCGGGCTGGCATGCTGGTTGTTGGTGGCTTTGGCCAGGGCGGCTTGCTGATTGTTGGCGGCAACGGCCCGGGCTGCACGATCGACGACAAAGCTGCTGAGCTGGGCCTGGGCGGCGGCGAAGATCTGCACATCCGCCGCGGCAGCGTGGAGCTCCTGGTAGGAGTCGGATGGCCCTTCCTGCATGTCGACGTCCTGGCCCTGCTGGCATGGGCGACGGCAGGGGTATGCACCTGTATTCCATGGAATACCCAAATTTTTTGAGACACAAACAAATACATATTAGACGTATATGTACAGCTGTTGTAAAAGTTGCAAAGTTGGCCCATTAGTCCATCTAAAAGGCCATGATGTCACAAAGCTAGAAACTCCTCCCGAGTCCCGTCCCTGAATTCTACTTCTCCAGCGGCCAATAGCGGACATTGCAGCACCAGCAGCGAACACGCAGCAACCTCCCGGCTCCCGGCCTCACCCCCATCCGAACTCCGGCGCCCGGAGGATACTGTAGCTGCCGTGGGCGTGGCGGCCGATGCCCCCAAGCTCCTCTCGGCTGGCGCACTGGCGGCACCCTCCCCCGACGGCCCCAAGCTCTGCTCGGCTGGGCGGCTGGCAGCGTTGAAGGCCGGAGCTTGGAAGGAAGCTAGAGGTGAATGCCCCCAGATCTATTCTCTATTTCTCTACTCAGGATTTCATTTTCTCCTCTAATTTAGTACTTGATTGATGAAAGATTACTGTTATGGACTTATGGTTCAATATATTGCATAATTACATTACAAAAGTTTTTATACTTGGAATACCCTGCTGCAAAATCTTAGCTCTGCCACTGCCTGCTGGTTACCTCTCAGGCGCGTCGGGACGTGGCGTGGCACAGCGCCGGCTACCTGGTGAACGTTCACGTTGGGCTGGGCGGCGCCGGCAACGTCGTCGTCGAAGACGGGCGGCCCTGCTGGGAAGAAGTGATGAGTGACGGCCTGTGATCCCGCCGGCGCGGCGTGGACGGCCACCGGTCCTTCAGCGTGGGGGGCACCAGGTCCCAGACCTCCACAACCGCCAGCTCCTCCATCTACAAGGCGTGCGCGAAGGCTTCGCCGACGGCGATGGAATCGACAAAGAAATCAAACTGATGATCTGCGTCACCAGCCGCCTCCATGACCTCCTCCTGCATGGGAAGCGCCTACGAGCGCTCCACCACGATGTCCCCGGCGGCGGCGGCGGCGGCGGCGCTGACAGCTTCCTCCTCCGACTGACGCTGGCGACCGTGGTGGGGTTTTCCTCGTTCCATTGTAGCTTCTCGAGATTACAGATTGGGGTCGCCAGACGGCGGTAATAAGAGCACCCCGCGTCAAAATAGGGAGGCTGAGACCGAGTTGCAAGGTGTCACGAGTGGATCGGCTAGTAGAAGTTTGACTTGTTCCGACTCATCTCATATTCCGATCCTGCGTTTGTTTAAAACTAGCAAATATGCCAGACCTTGCAATAGAAAAAAAAACTATCAAGCATCCATGCAAAACGACGATGTGAATGGTACATATCTACTTATATTTTATCATTTTATAATTTATTTTATGATGACAGTAACATCACTACCGAAAATAGCAGATTTATCGAGTGCTAAAAGCTTTGCCGAGTGCATTCCATCGGGCACTCGGCAAAAAAACTGTTTGCCGAGGGCATCAGAAACCACACTCGACAAAACAACGGCATTCGGCATACCAATATCTTTGTTGAGTGCTAAAAAAAGACCACTCGGCAAACTAGGAAAAAACACTCGGTAAAACAGAGACACTCGGCAAAAAACCGCCACGTGGACATCCGTCAGCTAGTGTGCCGGCCGTTAGGAGTTTGCTGAGTGTCCGTTAGTGGCACTCAGCTAAGAAGTAAGTTTGCCGAGTGTTTTCCTTTAGCACTCGGCAAAAAAATAATTTTACCGAGTGTTTTTTTGCACTGGACAAATAAATAAGTTTTTTTTCTCTTCTGACCTTGAAACTTTTTCTACTGTCCACATACAACATGTGGCACTCCATATTAAGATTTGATATATTTCTGGATCTGTTTGCTATATTTAATTAATTTATTGCATTTTAAGAAATTTTTTGGTATAAGTCAAATTTGAACTGCAAGTGATTCAAATAATAGAATAAAATGAGTAGAAAAATGATATTCATGTTATTGAGTCCAGTGTGAGGCCTTACATAGGAAATGAAAAGAAATTTCGAACATCTTGTTCAGGAAACACGACCACAAACGTGTGGCCAAATGGTTTTTAAATTCTAAAAAAAAGCAAACGAAGTCTAAAAATTATGAGATTTATCAAGATCACATGATATCATATGTGGAGGCCGTGGTAAAAAATTAAGAAGATTTCGCACAATCTGTCATGTACGATGTTTACAAACCGAAATATCTCAGAAGAAGAATCGTAGCGTTGAGAAGGATTTGCTAAGATTTGGAGTCAAAGTGACGGTCGAATTGTGGTTTAACTTCAAAACCTTTTATATAGGCAATAGAGAATATAGATTGATTCATGTGTAATTTTGGTAATTTTTTGGATCCATTTGATAATTTTAATTTACTAAGTGCAATTATAGAATTTTAATTGATATACATTGAATTTGAGCTACAACTGCATGAAATAATAAGTTTTTTTTTCTCTTCTAACCTTGAAACTTTTTCTACTGTCCACATACAACATGTGGTACTCCATGTTAAAATTTGGTATATTTCTAGATCCGTTTTCTATATTTAATTAATTTATTGCTTTTCAGGGAATTTTTTAGTATAAGTCAAATTTGAACCGCAAGTGATTCAAATAATAGAATAAAATGAGTAGAAAAATAATATTCATATTATTGAGTCCGGTGTGAGGCCTTACCCAGAAAATGAAAAGAAATTTCGAACATCTTGTTCAGGAAACACGACCATGAACATGTGGCCGAATGGTTTTTAAATTCTGAAAAAAGCAAACCAAGTCTGATAATCATGAGATTTGTCAAGATCTCGTGATATCATACATGGAAGCCATGATAAAAATTGATAAGGTTTTGCACAATCTGTCACATACGATGTTTACAAACTAAAGTATCTCAGAAGAAGAATCGTAGCGTTGAGAAGGATTCGGTAAGATTTGTAGTCAAAGTGACGGTCGAATTGGGGTTTGACTTCAAAAGTTTTTGTATAGGCAATAGAGAATATAGATTGATTCATGTGTAATTTTGGTAATTTTTTGGATCTGTTTGATGATTTTTTTTATTAAGTGCAATTATAGAATTTTAATTGATATACATTGAATTTGAGCTACAACTGCATGAAATAATAAGTTTTTTTTCACTTTTGGCCTTGAAACTTTTTCTACTCTCTACACACAACATGTGGTACTTCATGTTAAGATTTGATATATTTGTGGATCCGTTTGCTATATTTAATTAATTTATTGCTTTTCAAGGAATTTTTTTGTATTAGTCAAATTTGAACTGCAAGTGACTCAAATAATAGAATAAAACGAGTAGAAAAAGGATATTCATGTTATTGAGTCTAGTGTGAGGCCTTACCTGGGAAATGAAAAGAAATTTCGTACATCTTGTTCTAGAAACACGGCCACGAACATGTGGTAGAATGGTTTTTAAATTCTAAAAAAAACAAACGAAGTCTGAAAATCATGAGATTTGTCAAGATATGATGATATCATACGTGGAGGCTGTGGTAAAAAGTTGAGAAGGTTTCACATAATTTGTCACGTACGATATTTAGAAACCAAAGCATCTCTGGAGAAGAATCGTAGTGTTGAGAAGGATTCGGTAAGATTTGAAGTCAAAGTGACGGTCAAATTGGGGTTTGGGTTCAAAACTTTTTGTATAGGCAATAGAGAACATAGATTGCTTATCATAAGAGGCAATTTGAAGAAGATTACCCCTAACCAAATATTAGGTGATATTATGACACAAGAGACATACCATGTGGAAAGGGAGGGGGTTGACAAGGATGATTAGAAGGAAGATGAAGACAAGAAGAAGAAGAGTGTAGCATTCAAGGCTAGCTCATCATCTAAGAACAAGGGTAAGTCCAAGAAAGAATCAAGTGATGATGATGATCTTAGTGATATTGATGATGAAGCTATGGCTCTCTTTGTGCGCAAGATGGGCAAATTCATGAAGAAGGGCTATGGTGCAAGAAAGAGAAGAGATCACACCAAAAGTAAAGAATATGTGAGAAGATGCTACAATTGCAAGAGCTCCGATCACGTTATAGCGGATTGTTCCTATAATAATGATAATGATGAGGATGAGAAAAAGAAACACAAGAAGGAGAAGAAGGAGAAAAGGATGACCTTTCAAAAGAAGAAGAAGGGTGGAGGCCATGTGGTCACATGGGATAGTGTAACACCTCGGATGTTTAAAATACTAAAACCTGACATGTCATCATATGCATTGCAAAGCATTTGGCATTTGGTGAAAACTTTGAGATGCATACACTAAAACAAGTTTATATTCATGTGGTATGTGTTAAATTGTATTAGTTGACTCTAGTTCAAAGTTTGTTTGGATTTTGAATTTTTCGAGAAAACCCCGCTTTTCAGCATTTAAATCCTACCCTGAAAATCCATTTCAAAATCTAAGCATAATTTGGGGTTGATCCCAAAAGCAAAAGTGTAGAGCTTGGCAAGTTATGCAAAGTTTGTTTTTGGAGTTTTTTCAAGTTGTTTAGAAAAATTTTGAGTAATTCAAAAAGGCGTAATTCGTTAAATTTCCCTATTCAAATTCAAAAGTTCATTTCAAAATCTAGACCGAATTAGGAGATGGTTATAGAAGCAAAGTTGTAGAACTTTCGATTTTGAACAACTTTTGTTTTTGGAGATTTTTGAGTTGTTATGAAAATTTGAGAGTAATTTGTGAATTTTGGCGTATGGCAATTTTGTAATTTCTGTGAACAGTGTTCACCGCCTAAGCTACATTGCCATCGGACCTTCTTCGGCGTTCCAGGCGCGTCGTGGCCGTCCTTGATGTCGCGCTGGCATGGAAACGGCTCCGTCGTGGCTTCCTTGAGCTTCTGCGCCGCGCTATAAGTACCAAGACATCGTCATCGTCGTTTTTCTTCTTCCTTTATTTTCACCACCGCCGTTGTCATCGCTCTAACAAGCTCGCATCGTCTCCCCAGCGCTGTTGCCATCTCGGTAAAGGCCGTCCTAGTTC